GCCCAAATAGTTTGTGACCCCACTACACAAGCAGCCCCATTTGGGGTCGCGACCTCTATTTTAAAACACTTTGATCTAGATTTACCATGAAATTATGTGAAAGGGATTTATTTTGTTCCTCTGAGATCCCAGATCTGAACTCTACCCAGGTCCTTACAGCTCTCTTCTGACAAGAGATCTACTATATCAAATACCCAATCTTGCCTATTATCTGATTTGCTATGCTTCTGTTCATAAAAGAAAGAGTTTTTCCCAAAGAGCAGAACCAAGAGAGTAAACTGCTCAGATGTAGAATTCCAGCTGCAAAATGTTTGTCTTGTAGCCTAAAGGGTTTTGTGCCCTTAAAGTTCTGAAATATCCCTTCTTAGTTGTGTGAATTTCTATGGGTTTGTGAAAGTCACTGGTTCCGCTTGCTGTTAAACTGTTTTTCAGGTCCCAAAGGCAAGCAGCTTGAAGGCACAGAATGTCCCCTCCACGTAGTCCATCCGCCGACTGGGGAGGAGTTTGCACTAGGCTGTGGAGTCTGCAGAAATGCACATACTTTTTAGTCCATAGTTCTCTCATTTGCCAGAACAAAGCTGCTGTCATCCCATAAGTGTCCTGAGTTCAGTATAAACCACACCTAAAAAGAGTATGGGACCATTTCATAATCCAGGGAAAAGAAGAAAGGTTGCAGCGCGAGAAGGATGCCAAATACCATGTACATAATCCTTGCTATGGGAAATTGACATTTATGACCCAAGAAATCAAACCTTGTGAGGTGTTTGCATGTGGCCATTACGCGCATCAGCTAAGAAGCATTGGACACTTACAAATAAATAATTGCTATCAAAGAAACATTTAAAGGCTCTGTTTCCATGGACTCCAAATGATGCTGGATATCAGATGAAGAAAAAGTTGATTATTGTATACTGACTTTTTTTTGTAATTCTGTACAATTGTAACTGCATCACGGGTAGGGGTGGAAAACAGAAGTATTCTGGTTTATTTCTTAGACTGTTATTTAAAAAAAGTGTTAGGAAGGCATAAATGTATCCAGTATCACACTGTATATATAAGATCAATGTTTGTCCTGTATAAGAATTACTAAATTGTAAACAGCAGTTTCATTTAAACTTCTGGGTTATGTTTGAGCCTGAAATTTTAATGAAGTGCAATACTGAGTGTGCCTCATATCTTGCAGCTGTAAACATAATGGAATGTATATGTCAATAAAGCCGCTGTACATTTTTATACAGTGAAAGTCTAATGAATTCGTAAGAACTTTCTTTTGAAGCAGCTGAAGTCCCTCTTTTCATAACTATTAAATTCAGAATTCAGAAAACAAATGCTTTTTTGTCCATTTTCGTATGGTGTTTTAGCACATAAAATCTGCTCATTGTCTTCTTTAAAGTAGTTAAGACAACCTTAGGCTCTCCTTGTTACATCATAACCCACATTGATATGATCTGTTAACCATACACTTTTTAAAGAGATAAAATTCCTCATGCATAGTAGTACTCCAGTTAATTTAAAAACATGTATTTGAACAAATCCCTAAACAGCAGGTAGAAGCATCACAAGGAAAGTGACTTCTAGGTTATTTTTTTTTATTTTCAGCCTAGGTTCAGCCTTTTTGATTTTTGAGAAGGCCAAAAAAGCAAGCAAAATCCTCTAGATTTTTTTCCCAAGAACCCTAAAATATATATCCATTTTACTTGAAGTGATGCATATTTCCAGGTAATCCTATCATCTATCATATTTTATAAGAACTTATTTTTTTCTTCAATTATGGTCATCTGGTGAAGATTTGATAGAACTGTTGTATGGTAATAACATGCTTAAATGACTTTGTTAACACCCCCCCCCCCCCCCCCCCCACCACACACACACACACACACACATATGGCATTGTGTGCCTGGGGCTTATAAATGAAGCTAAAATGTTTAGGCCAACCATGTTCAGCCCTTTTAGCATCTGGCAGTGGTGGAAATGATTTGCAGGGGCAGTTGATGGCTTCTATAGCAGTGAGGTGGTGAATATTCTCTGTCTTCTATTCCACTCTTTTATGAATCCTTTCACAGTACACAGTTACAGTACAATAGTTCCACTTCAGCTGCTGTCACTGTCTCTTGAGGGATCCTGGGATTTGCAGTGTGGTGAGGCCTTCCAGATCTCTGCCTTAGCATTTTGAATATTTTCTCTAAACTGCAAATCCCTGTAGTTTATATAATGTTTTGTTGGTAACTAAAGTGTAACCGTCACACTATAAATATGCAGCATGAAAGTACCCTCAAGTCAATGATTTGTTCAGCACCTTGGATAGTTCCTGTGAAATCCAGTGTCACTTAATAGCTAACACTAGCTAGCATGAGTAAGAGTCTTCACACTTGGAAAGTCACCGGTTCACCAGTGATAGTAGTCTTTCAAAGGAAATGATGTCATTTTGAACACAATTCTTGGAAATGGTGTCTTATTTTCTTCCATGTCTAATTCTTTTTAACTCAAGAATCAAAATCACATTTGTTTTTCAGGGCAGAAGGGTAAGTGAAACAGACTTGCCATGTTATGATGATGGCCTTCACATTCAGATATTGGGGGCTCAGGATTAATAAACCATGATTTGCTTTGCAATATACTTTCTTGACTCATGTCACATAAGAATAATAATGTGTTTTTAACAGTAGGTAGTGGCTTTCCCAAATGTAACTTTTCCTTTTGGTGAGGGTTAAGAGTAGTATATGTTCTGTCGCCACTGGGTCCGAACAAAATGTCTTTATTCTATAGAACGCACACTTTAAACCCAGTGGGAAGCCGGGGTGCCCGAAGAGAGATTGTTAGAGACTTCCAAAAGTAATGGGCTTTAGAGTCTTTAAAAGTACAACAAAGTCTTTATTAAGGAACAAATCTTCAAACAAAACTTCACGGCTTTACTATTCAAGTCTTTAAGAGACTGGCACTAACTTGGTTTGACTGTACTACCTCATAAGGAAGAACTCTTTATAATCCCTCCCAAGCCGTCCATCACTTAGGCCTCGCTGGTCTGGGTAAAACTGCTGATCCCCAAATGCGTCTGGAAACCAAGTAACCTACCAGACGAAGCTAGAAGATGTTGGAATTCTGTGGTTCTGCAGTGATGTCCTGTGGAAACTTCAGGGCTGTTTTCCCCTCTGGTGTTGTGAGGCTGAGAGGCTGTGAGCTCTCAACCAGAGCCTTTGGGACCTTTTCCTTCTGTTACCCTGGAACTGGATGGTCACTGGATGACCCTTGGATGGTCACTGGATGGACCCCGGATCACCTTTGGATGATCCCCGGATGGCTATTTCTATTTCCCCGGAAGGTTTTTAGGAATGAAGCCTTTCCTACGGGACTAGCTGATCTGCGTCCTATAGACTGGCTTCCTTGTGTGACTGAAAATAGGCCCCTTCCCTCCAAAAGGCAAAAAGGGGGCGGGACCAGGGATCCTAAGTATAACTGGCAGGTGGCTTACCCTATAAATGCAAATTATAACAGGAAACCCCCTGCTGCAAAATCCCAAGCATGGGTTTGCACACAAACATATAAACACAGCAAATAAATCTGGAGCTCCTGGAACAGCTGTTCCAGAACAGTATATGCTGATCCAAGGTTGGTCCAAGATATGTTGCTGTCTAACAAATGCCATATAGTCTTAGACTTTGAAGGGGCCTCATGGGCCTTCTACTCCAACACCCTGCACAGTTAAAGATCTCCAGCTACAACATCACCAGCAGGTAGCTGCCCTGTCGCTTTCTGAAGGAGACTCTACCAACACTCTAGGCAACAGATTCCTTTGCTAAACTTTTCCCACTCAAGGGTTTCCTTCAATCAAAATCTACCTTTCCATGACACCCAACAACTTCTGCCTAATGGTAAGGCTAGCCATGTTAGGGAATTCTCCCAAAAATAACAGAGCATCCAGTAATATAAACAGGATTCTTAATTGCACAGTCAGCTCGAAGCAAGTGGAAAGGGGAAGTGTCATATGGCTGCAAAAGAATTTTTGAGCTTAGCAGGCAAAGATGCAGAATTCAATCCTCTGAAGTTCCAAAAAAAAAAAAGATTTCTTTACAAATAAGAACGACATTCCTTGATAGGAACGACATTCCTTGATGAGTCTCCTCCGGGGTTAGAAGGGCGGGGTAGAAATAATAAATAAATAGGGAAGAATTGGGTCTAAGCTTCTCTCTAACTCCGTAACTTCTAAGCTCCAAAACAAGAGGAAAAACCTCCAAAGAACTACATCTCTTCAAACTCAGATTACAGAGAAGTCTGAGTGCCAAGATGAAGAAGCAGAAGACTTAAACTTTTTTTGTGACCAGGCACCACTTTGACCAGGGACCACTCTCCAACATTAGCACCAAAAGGGTTACTATTCAGTTTTTGGTCAGCTTTAGATTTGGTTTGGTTATTTGGGGTGCTGAATCAGAAAGAGAGCGGGGTGGTGGTGGTGCGAAACAAGTCGCTCTTGTTGCAACGATGTAGTAATGGTGAGGCCGCGGGCCATATTTTAGTTCTTGCGGACCACTGGGTCCATGGACCACAGGTTGGAAACCACTGACATAAAGGCATGCAACCTGAAGAGAATCCATTCCAGTTCACCAATCAGAGCAGAGAGAGAGAACAAATGCATACATTCCAACTGACATTCAGGAGCCAGAGGAAAAGGGATTCCCTCACCCTATTCTAAAGCTAACTGTTCCTCATTGAGGACTGCAGACTTGAGCAGGGTAGGGTTGACTTCCAACAAACAGACAGTGCACTGCCAACTTGCGGCGACCTTGACGTTTTCATTCAACCCCACTGTTCGCGATTTTGGGTTTGATTTTTCTTTTCTTTTGTCTTCTTTCTGTCACTTTCACTTCTGCGCCCAATGACAGCGAGAGCGTCGCGGGGAACCCGGAAGTGTGAGCCGGAGACAAGAAGACCGCGCCTCTACATGAGGGCGGGGCGGCTTCCCAAGAGAGGTTGATTGGGGGTAGGTCCCGTGCGAAGCTCGCGCATGCGCCCTGAGGGCCCGCTCCGTCGCAGAGTCGCAGGGGCCGCCATTTTGGTTTCCCGCGGCCTCAGGGGCGCGCCGGTGCCGAAGTAAACAAGGAGGCGGCGACGTCGAGGAGAGGGAGCGTACGGCGGGAGCGCGAGCCCCGTTCGGCTGGCGCTTAGTCGGCGGACAGTAGGGCGGCGAGGAGCTCTGCCGTGACGGATGAGGAGGCGTTGCAGGCCCGGCCCGGGCTGAGGAGGCCGCAGGTGAGGGAGCGAGCGGGTGGGTGGGCGCGCGGGAGGGAGGGAGGGAGGGGGGGCCCGTCTCCTTGGCAACCCCCTCCACCCAACGAGCCAATCCTCAGCCCAGATTTGGGCTCGCCCGAGCCGCCTTTTCCTGGAGCTTTTCGCCTGTGATTTGGGGACTGTTGGGCCGGGCACCCCTTCTGGCAAAAAAGCGAGGAGTTCTGCGTGTTCTTGGGCTTCTCCTCATTTAAAGGAGCATTTCGGCCTGCTTCTGGGAGAAGGTAGGCTGAAGGGGAGAGGTGGATTTCTCCCTTTCTCTGCATCTTCTCACCCCACGCCCACCCGGCCAGGAGCTGAGGGCGCTTCTGTAGGATGGATGCACTTGGGCCCCGCTTGAACTGCCACTGGCTCAATACTGTGGAATCTTGGGATTTGTAGTATTACAAAGAGCTTAGCCCCCTTCCACACAACTGAATACAATCGCACATTATCAGCATTGAACTGGGATACATGGCAGTGTGGACTCAGATAACCCAGTTCAAAGCAGATATTGTGGGATTTTCTGTCTTGATATTCTGCCTGTGCGGAAGGACCCTTAGTCTTTCCTCCCGAATTATATTTATTTATTTATATCCCGCTTTATTTCTCTATGCAAAGACTCAAAGCGACTCACAATCAAAAACATTACAACTTCAAATATACAATAATAAAAACAGTGTATCATTATTATTATTATTATTAAACTTTATTTGTACCCCGCTAGCATCTCCCGCAGGACTCGATGCGGCTTACAAAGGCCAAGGCCTCTACAACAATACAAACCTAAGCAAATTAAAATAATTAAAGCAATCTAAAACAACAAGCAATGAACAATCCATTAAGACACAATAAAACTGGGCCGGGCCAGAGTAAGGGTACAAGGGTTAAAAGTGCTGATGTGACAGGTGGAAATGAGGCTTATGGACAGTGCAGTGTGCAGCGATCTTGGCTCTAATAAAGTGCTTGTGGGACTTGGTAATGAAAAGTTTCCTATTCAGGAAAGGCACATCGGAACAGCCAGGTCTTCAAGTTCTTTCTGAAGACTGCCAATGTAGGGGCCTGTCTAAGATCTTTGGGGAGGGTGTTCCAGAGTCGGAACACCCTCCCCAAAGTTATAAATATAACTCCCCAGAGTTATATATTATCAGTAGTATATATTATATTATATTATATTAATTTATATTATATTTAATATATTAGTATTATATTACAACATCTATATAAATAAAAATGTAATGTTCAATTGTGGGATTAACAGAACTCAAAAACCACTGTACGAATTGACACCAAATTTCGAAAAAACACACATAACAACCCAATGTATGGCCTTCACTAAAAAAAAATGATTTTGTCATTTGGGAGTTGTAGTTGCTGGAATTTATAGTTAACCTACAATCAAAGGGCATTCTGAACTCCACCAATGATGGAATTGAACCAAACTTAGCACACAGTTCTCCCGTGAACAACAGAAAATACTGGAAGGGTTTGGTGAGCAGTGTCCTTTGATTTTGGAATTGTAGTTCACCTACATCCAGAGATCACTGTGGACTCAAACAATGATGGATCTGGACACAATAAAAAACATTACAACTTCAAATATACAATAATAAAACAGTATATCATTATATACTATTATATATTATCAGTAGTATATATTATATTATATTAATTATATTTAATATATTAGTATTATATTACAACATTATTATTATATATTATATTGTAATGTATTATTAGTTTTGTATTACATTATAATATTACTACCAATGTTTTATTTATATGTAATATATTATTATTATATTATATATTAGTATTATATTACAACATTATATATTATATTGTAATGTATTATTAGTATTGCATTACATTATAATATTATTACCAATGTTATATGTATATGTAATATATTATTAGCCTAGCACAATATTAGCATTATTTATTATTATATTGTACTACACCACTGTACTGCAATATTATTAGTAATATTACATGTAATATATAATATACAATTTTTCTATTATGTATTTTATATTGTACTATATTATTATACCACAATATATATAATACACTATCAGTATATTTTATATATATATATATATATATATGTATATACATACACACACACACATACACACTATAGTATTATATAATATATTGTACTATGTTATAAGTTGATACCCCTTAAAACTACAAATCCTGTGTTTCCGTAGCATTGAGCCAATGCCCGTTAAAGTTATCCTTTCTGGTACCTCACCGAACTACATGACAAGCATCTCTGTTTCTGTGAGAGGAGGGGTCTAAAAGGCTGGAGAAAGGTCTGCAGTTGGCACTCTCTTTTTCCTGCATCCTCTACTGCTATGGCCACCCCATCAGAGGCTGAGGATGCATCTCCCCTAATTCTCAGTCTAGGTGCAGGGAATGCTGTGGATGTAGCATATCTTGATTTCAGTAAGGCCTTCGACAAAGTCCCCCATGACCTTCTTGCAAACTAGCCAAATGTGGGCTAAGCAATGCTACTATTGGGTAAATCTGTAATTGGTTAAGCGACCAAACCCAAAGGGTGCTCACCAAGGGTCCATCTTCACTCTGGAAAGAAGTAACTGGTGGAGTGCCGCAGGGTTTGGTGCCTCACCAAACTACAAATCCCAAGATTCCAAGGCACTTAGTTCAACAGTGTAGATGCACCCATAAACTGCTAGTAAGGAAAAGAAGTCTGAATTCAATGTGATCCTTTACTCAATATCTTCTGAAGTGGGAGAGAACAAATGTACTAGAACAAATTTCAGTACAACATGCTAATGTAAGCCTATGCTTATCTATAATGTATAACTCCTGGGCCTATAATGTATAATTCCTGAGAAAGAGGCTGTGCAGTATCTGTAATGTTGTCAATAACTGCTTTTGTGGGCTTCAATCATATTGAGATGTAGAATAATATTAGTGCTTGTGATATCTGCCACTTTAGATGTGTGATTAAGTGGCAATTCAGAGAATCTTCTTATGTTTGGGTCCTGCATTCCAGATGGATAGACTAATTCAAGGAAGCTACAGCCCAGAAACTGCAAGATCTGAGCAAGGCTGTTAATGAAAGGGTGACTTGGAGGTCTCTCATTCATTGGGTCACCATAAGTCAAAGTAGACTTCATGACAGTTAACCAAACAGATGTGCATTATTTTATGATATTGTTTCGTTCTTATAGTTCTCAAGACTCTGGATTTAAATATTTTCAAAGTCTTGCAGATATTTTCTCCTCTTTATCTTCAAACAGTACAGCAAAAAGTAATTAAAACGGAATACGATGGATAGCTGTTTGGCTTGTTTCTATGTAACAAGTCTGCACAGTGTAAACAATACCAAATATTTAACTTGTCTAATCAGAAAATGCATGGGGTTTGTTTATTTTTCATTAGAGGTTTTGATAGATTAAGTCAGGCCTACGTAACATGGGAGAGGCCAAAATTAGATAGGCTAAGCCTCTTGGGGCCACAAATAGATTTTTAGCACTTTACTTTCCAAGTATGTTATAATTAATTAATAATTAGGATCATTGTTGTTGTTGTTGTGTGCCTTCAGATCTTTTGAGACTTAGAGCAACCCTGTCACAGAGGTTTTATTGTCAAGATTTATTCAGAGGGGACCGGCCATTATCTTTCTCTGAGAGAGTGTGACTTTTCTAAAATCACTGAGTGAGTTCAGAGCTTTAGTTTAAACCGCAACACCACACTTTCTTAATTAATTCTATCTCTTTTTCCTTCTTCTCTTTCTTTCTCTCTTTAGTCCCAAATGATAGTAATCAAAGTATGATGGTGTTAGGGTGTTAGGCCCAATTTGAAATTGCTATACTTGGTCCCATATACTGAAATAACACGGAAAGCACTATGTGATCTCTGTTCAACATACCTTTCACTGTGTATCATTATCTTGTGTTCATAAATGGCAAATTTACCAGACAGCACTACAAAAATAACTTTATAATCTGAAAACAAGCGTATTTTGTACCTTTGCATTTTTCACTATTAGATTTTATATTATTTGGGTAGATAATAAAGAGGAGGAGATCATGCCTAGTCTTAGGAAAATGCTTTCTAATGTATGAAAAATTTATCTTGAAAATGTTCTTATTTTAATAGAATGAAACGAGGAGGAAGAAAAAGTAACAAAGCTAGCAATCAGTTATCAGATGAGGAGAATACAATTGATGGCAAGAAAATGAAAATTCCAGATGAAGAATCAATCAGAGATATTCCGAGTGCTGACTGGGGGAACCTTATTCCAGAGATTGTTCTGCACATATTCCAGCATTTGCCCCTTCTTGATCGTGCTCATGCATCACAGGTTTGCCGTAGGTGGAATCAAGTGTTTCATATGCCAGAACTGTGGAGATGTTTTGAGTTTGAACTGAATCAGCCTGCTACATCTTACTTAAAGGCTACTCATCCAGAGCTCATCAAGCAAATTATCAAAAGGCATTCCAATCATCTACAGTATGTCAGTTTCAAGGTAGCTCCTTTCAGTTTAAAAATAAATTAACTTAAATGCTTTGTAAATTGCTGGTCCTGTTCTGGCTTTGTATACATGTGGCAGTTCTGAGCAGATACTTCAGATATCAATAGATAAAGAAGAATTGAATCAGATGTTTTTATTTTATTTTGACTTTTGAATTGTTTTAGATGTGTTTAAGTGGTTTAAATTATTGTAAAGCTGTTATTTCCTCTTCCCTCTTGAGTTAATAAAGTGCCTAGAAAGAAATAATTAATAAAATAAGTCCTTCTCTTTGGTAGAGAGGAATTGCTATTCATCAGGAAAATGAAGTTAAAAATAATGCATTAATTAAAAACCCCGGACTTGGTAACACACTTGCTAAACCTGAGCCTGATTAATCTAATTTGAACAAATTAAAAAATGCACCTCATGCTGATATATTGCTACAACAAAGAGACATTGAAATATCAAAGTTTAAATCGTATAATCACAGAAAGAACATCTGAATTCAGGATTTAAGTTAATCTTTTTTTGTTTGAGTTAATCAAACAGATTGGTATATATTTCTGTTGATTTCAAATAAAAAGTATCTTAAGTGCTGTTATGTTCCAAGGCAGTAAAAATCGCTTCATATAATTAACATGCCAAATTAAATGAAATAGATGTTTTTATATTTCAAAGACTTAAGTGAACCATTCATCTTTCAGCTAATGCATTACCCTTGTAGAATAAATAGCATAGACTTACATTGACTTGTGATCATCTTCTGACTCTGACTTTTTTTGTAACTTCTCTCCTTTCTTCTGTATCATACCCTTCTAGAGAATGAATTGGGAACAAAGTTTGGAGGGCTGTGAAGGGGAAAGCTGTGAAAACACAGAATGAAAAACCATTCTGATCATACTATGAACATTAGATTTCATGCATGTACTGCAAATGGGACTGGGAGGCTCCTAACCCTCAGGAACCTATTCAAGATACTTAAAGTGTGAATGTGAACACTTTCCATTTAACACTTGGTATTTTCTGACAATATATTATTTATGACTAACTTCCTTTCATCCAGTTCATATACATACAATTTTGTTTCAGTGTTTACTAAACCTTTTACTATTTAACACTTTCTTATACCCGAGTTAAACTAACAAAGAGTAGACTGTGAGGGAATTATATCGTAGTTTATTTGTAACTACAAGAATGTGTCTTGTTGAGATGTTGTTTTTCATTCTGTCTGAATGAGAAAGGGTAAGGAAGCAGCATTCCTTCTGAATGAGAAGCTAGGGGGAATTAATAGGTTGCCATAAGTGCCCTACCAAAGTTCAGAAGGATATACTTTGGTATGAGTTGGGATTCTCTAGATATTATGTATCCTTTATTGGACAGTTTGGATAATGGTGAAGTTAAAAAGATAGCAGAAGTGTAACACCATGCATGTACATCTGCTGACTATTTTGTGGCGGTGGTTTCTAGCAATCCTTATATACACTGAAGGTTAATACATTTCCATTCCTATTGTCATTCTCTTTGGATGGAGGAGGAAAGCAAGGGAATGTGAAGAATCTATGTGGATTTTAAGATTCGTTTTGTTTTTCATTGGATTCTCTCTAGATTCACTTTTGGAATTGCATTGTGAGGTTTGGCACAAAGCCTCTTGGTGAAAGCAAATCTGTGCCCACTAGGATATAATTTTGTCATACGGGAAGGCTGGGCAATTCTAAGGCAAAGGGATACCTCATTCAATAGGAAGTGTTGGAAAAAGGCCTCTCCTGGATGTTAGAATAGTCCTGGCCCATACTGCCCTCTATGTTTACTAGTGAAATTAAATGGCATTTTGAGAAGGGAAAGTTTTTAAGGATTTTTTAAAAGGATATTTGCAGACCACCCTGTAGGATTCCTTAGGGAGTCAGAACAGTTCCCTAACCTCTAATAGTTGCCTACCCTTGATGCAACATCTTACTGCTCTTGGGAAATGCAATATTTGTCAATTGCCAATAATAATTGGCAGTTCGAATGTTAGTCTGACTGTTGAGAAGCACTGATATATTGTGTGTACGGTTGGCATAATGTTAAATAATTAACTTCTTCTATAATATACAATAAATCTTTACTTATGTATATTCTGTATCTTTGTCTGGCTATCCTTTGCCACCAAATACCTTTGTGGCTAAGGCAAAATTGGCAAAATTCTCTGTATGAGACAATAATTTTTTTAACTTTATTTTTAACCCACCCTATCTCCTCAAGGGGACCCAGGGTGGCTTCCAGTAGAAAACACAGTGGCAATCATTAAATACCAGGAACCAAGAACAACATATAACAAATCAAAAACCAACTCAATAAAAATTAATATAACAACATAAATAAACATAGCATTAAATATTTATCTGTTTCATACATTACAGCCATCAGATAGTGATATTGTGTTGTCATATGTTATGGTCTGCTGTGGTACTATTAAAGGCTAAGAGAGATGCAATCCTTTTAGTTGTGAGTCACTTTGAGTCTCCGTATGGAGAAAAAAAAGTGGCATATAAATAAACATAATTGTAATAACAAACAGGAAATAGTAACCCCTAATAAATTCCAGCGGCAATGATGCATTCTTTGTCTGATATTTAATTAAAAGTATACACTGTGTTTATATACAATGTTTATGGCACCAGTATTTTAATTGAAAAATATGAATAAGGGGAATATCATAATAACAAATTTAACTGTCTTCCTGTCCTTGTACATAGTACTCTACAAAGAAAGAATCTGAGTTAAAAGAGCATATGATCTAAATCTAAGCAGTAGACAAGGAGGAAAGGATATCAGATGGTTTTGATTATATGTAATATTGTTTTTTTATAATTTTTTGTCTTTTCCACAAAACAAAGGTGGGTTTTGAATACTAGTTGAAAGAGAACAAAAGATGTAGCCTGTGACACAAGTCCAGATGTAAGGTATAGCAGGACAAAAAGTATGTGGTTGTTTTAGAGAGCAAGAAATTCTACATGGATTAAGAGTCGAGCTGGGCAAGTGAAAGTCACAGGAAAAGATATATTAAGGTGTAGGACTGGAAAAATAAAGAAGAATAAAGGATACGAGGGCTTTAAAAGTACTATCCAGCAGTAAAAAAAAAAGACCATCTTAGGTATTTTAAAATGGGCATCATATTTAGGGAGCCGAAATGTATTCACAGAAGAATGCTGGATGGATGTGAGACAGTGGAAGCTTAAAAAGGAAGTGATTATAGTAATTATTGTAAAAATGGCTTGAGCTGTAAGTAGAATGTATGCCAGGGAGATTTTTTAAAAAATATGGAGAAATGGCATGATTTGGCAGTTGCTAAACCCAACTAACAAAGCAGAAAAATAGAGGAAAAATTGAATGTTCAAATCTCCCAATATCCAAAGAGAAACTGTGCATAAATTGACATTAGGAAAAGGAATTGGAATGTGGTTAAGTAATGGAAAGTCCTAATTGGACTTTTCCTTGATGAAAGATAAATTGCAAAATGTTGTTGTAACTCCCCTTTTTGTCTTCCTAAAAGTGACAAGCAATGAATGAGCTCCTTGTTGATATTCAAAATCATTTGACTGGAATGATGCTTGCATCCTTTGACACTTTATTTCTTTTAAAAGGTGGATAGCAGCAAGGAATCCGCTGAAGCAGCCTGTGATATCTTATCACAGCTTGTGAATTGTTCGTTAAAAACACTAGGACTAATTTCAACAGCTCGACCAAGCTTCATGGATTTACCAAAGGTACTTGATCATACTGACACCTTTTGTTCTAAATGTTCACAGGATTCAAGTAATAAATTATGAATGCCTGAATTACTGAATTCACAGTGTGAAGGCTAGTTGAATATTTCTATACAAATCTTCTATAAACCCCATACATGACCCTAACATTTGTGTGAATGTACATATGCACACCACTTTATTTTGTATACTTTACTGTTGTACAAACACTTGGAATCAAATTATGTTTCATCTCAACATTGAAGAGTATTGAATAATTTGCTCCCAAACGTATTGTTTCTCTCTTAAGTTGTTTGAATGGTATATGAACTGTAGGTTGGCATGGCCATTCATGATGGTGCTAGTTGGGATGTTTCTCTCATGTAAACTGATCCTGATCTTGCTGTCAGAAATGGGAATATCTGCATCAGATGATGTGACACTTGCCCATCTCTGGAGGAAAAAAAACAGACCCATACCTCACTTACAACTTAATAAAGCAAAATTTCATGGATCGGCATCATGCTTCTTGGAATCTGATTTTACCAGTCTGAGATGAGCTTGTTACCCTAAGATTACTGTGCTCTTTAGGCGGGACAATGAAACGTTACTTATGTATCCAGATTTTCTACTATTGTGTGGTGGGTATAGTTTCACTTGTTGGTTTTCCTGTTTTCTTGTTCTACAGTCACACTTCATTTCTGCGCTGACTGTGGTATTTGTAAACTCCAAATCCCTTTCTTCACTTAAGATAGATGATACACCAGTAGATGACCCATCTCTAAAGGTACTAGTGGCTAATAACAGTGATACCCTGAAACTGTTAAAGATGAGCAGCTGCCCCCATGTTTCACCAGCAGGTAAGCTTGCTGACAGAACTGTCATTTGTGTTGTTCTCTTGACACAGCAACACTGATCAGATATCTGCAAATGTGTTTTCTGGTCAACTTTAGATACTTCATAACTGTTGACTTTTCTTTAGCTGGTACAGTTATATGTAATCATACAATTTAGATACAACTGTCATAATATAAATATAAATTATGCAGGTTGCTAATTGTAGTGTGAACCTGGAATATGTTGTTTTCCAAGCCAAGATATGTGCATTCAAATTGGATTGCCGTGTCTTTGGGAATTGAACATCCGTTTAATCACATTAAATTCGTTGTTAATAATTCCCACTAAATTTCAGCTATTTCAAACAATATGCAAAACTTCCAGGTGGTTAATTTTTCCCACTACAATCAAGGGTAATTGGTATTACTTGTCTGTGTTGGACTCCTTTCATTCTGTTCAGGTTTAGGTTGCAGTATATATTTTGAAGGACCAGACTTCAGTTTCCACCCACCAGGCTTCTAGAAACAGTCGCATTAGTCTGTACAGAAAATACATGAGGCATGTGCATGATTTCCTGTTGCATAAACATTTTGGTGGAAATGCAGTTTGCTTGGCTTTGCCTTTATAAAATATAAGCATGTGGCAATGCACATTATTCATTTGTATATATACCATGATTATTTTGAGTTGATTTATTTATATTCTAATTATATTTTTTACAAAATTAACCATGGTGAGCATATGTTATCCCTTATCCAAAAGGCTTGCTACCAGAACCTCTGTAAAATGGATAGGGCAGGAGTGTATTATATCAATGTTTTCACACCCCAGCTATTTTTATGCATCATCCAAGCCATTTATTTAAATAGTGTAGTGACTGTCATTACATTAATCACTTCCACAACATATGGCCTATATTTTGGTAAACAATATATCTGAATAAAATGTTCCATTACAAATTGGTCTTCATTTTAGGCAGTGATAAAATGCAGTCTTTTAAAAACCAATTTGAGAGCTGCTACCCCTAGCACTGTTATGTTTTCTTCTTGCCTCTGTTAATGAACTTTTTGGGACATTGGGTAACATAGAGACCACATTAATTAAGAGATTAAGCATATGCCAGCAATCCAGGTCACTTTGTTATTTCTCATAGGGAAATGCTTCGACTCTGTTCAATTCATGTTTCAAAAGGATGACATATTTACTAGACTGTAACTCCCACATCACCCCAGTACCATCATTGATGAGTATTACACTCCAGCACAAGAAGGGAAATCTTGCTTGGAAAGTATCATTTTATCCCTTGATTTTCATTTCCAAAATGCTTAAGCTCATATCTTATATTTTGTAGATTAAGGAATGCCTTCCATTTACAGGACAGAATCTTCATTTCCATGGCAGGTTGGATATGAGCTCACATTCTGAAGTTTCATTTTCTTTCTTAGGTATCCTCTGTGTAGCAGATCAGTGCCATGGTTTGCGTGAGTTGGCACTAAACTATCATCTGCTAAGTGATGACCTCCTCCTTGCTTTGTCTTCTGAAAAACATGTGAGATTGGAACATTTGCGCATTGATGTAGTCAGTGAGAATCCGGGACAGACACACTTCCACAAAATTGAGAAGAGCAGCTGGGATGCCTTTATCAAACATTCTCCCAAAGTGAACTTAGTCATGTATTTTTTCTTATATGAAGAGGAATTTGATCCGTTCTTTCGTTACGAAACCCCTGTCACTCACCTTTATTTTGGGAGATCAGTCAGCAAAGAAGTACTTGGCCGGGTTGGAATGACATGCCCTCGCCTAGTTGAACTGGTAGTGTGTGCCAATGGATTACGGCCCCTGGATGAAGAATTGATTTGCATTGCAGAGCATTGTAAAAATCTCTCTGCTGTTGGCCTTGGGGAATGTGAAGTCTCCTGCAGTGCCTTTGTTGAATTTGTGAAGATGTGCGGTGGCCGCTTATCTCAGCTGTCTATCATGGAAGAAGTCCTGATTCCTGACCAGAAGTACAGTTTGGAGCAGATTCATTGGGAAGTGTCAAAACACCTTGGTAGAGTTTGGTTTCCAGACATGATGCCTACATGGTAGAGACTCTCAAGAAGGCAGGGCTTGTGAAACAGGACCTCCTGTTTTGGGCATACCAGACAGCAGCTTAATATATAAGCTATTTGTGTCCTAGAAAATCTATGTAGTAGTTAGTGCTGGTTTTTAGAATCAAAGTTCATCAGGGGAATCTGAGGATATTTTGAAGCACTTGTCTGTATAAAGCCTTTTGTAGTTTGCTCTTTTTTCACTGAGACAAATCCTAAATATATGTACGAAATGAAATACTATCACTTATTCATGCAAGTTCCATAGTTTATAATTGGTTTACATCTGGCACTTCATTTACGTACCATGATAGATGTGACTGACTGAAATTCAGTTTTCAAAGTGTGGGTGAACACTTCTGTAATTTACTTCTGGAAACACTAATAGTGCATAAGTTATAGAATAATCGGCAGTTTAGACTGTAAATATTCTGTAGGCTGTTCGGTGTTTTGATAATAAAATAATGAAGAGCAATACAGCAATGTAGTTCAACATATTTGTATACAGGAAATGTGTTTCATCTGTGGCTTATTAAATTGCTCTAGATAATGTACTTGTGTGTAAATTACTAACCTTCAACATTCTTTCATTTTTATGCATTTTTTGAAATGGACATCTGACAATCGTGAAATGTTAATATGTATATATAAATCCATTTTAAGGTATTACTAAAACTCAGGTAGCTAAAGTATTCTAGTAAAAGTATGTTGTATTTTGGTGATTTTCTTGGACAAGTGTTTTTTCTAACACTTGTTTTGTAACATTGCTCTTATGAATGTTGCATATGTTTTGCAGTAAATGAAACCAAGCTTTTGTACCAAAAAAATTAAAAATATGAAGTGGTTTTTAGTGGAAAGAAAAAGGCAATGACTTCATGAATCCTTTGGCTACTTAGAGCAGAAGGTAGCAAGTAAGATTTTGGAAGCTGCTGTTGTTATGCTTGAGCACCTTATATTAGTCCTAAAAAACGAGAGATTGGGGCTATTTTTGTCATGTGCAAGAATAACACCCCTTTTCTTAGGAAGAGAACATTTAATTTCTGAAGAAGCCTCTGTACAGTAACATCTTGCAAAACTCTTTCACATGGACTGCAATCAGCAAGTTTTACCTGGACAGTACCTCATTTTTTGGTAAAATATAACAGTATAGAGGCTTAAAAATATCAATTGCACATAATATTTTACTGAATCAAGTGGGTCGTTTGGCAGCTGGTTCTGTACATATTTCTTTGGATAGATAATTAATGTAACAATAGCATTCTCTGTCATCTCATAAATGGATCATGATGCAATTTGGAGATTTTAGCAGAAAAATGCATAACCACATGAATATTGGGGAGTAGGACTTTATTCTAGCTAGAAAGTGCCCCTATTGTTAAACTTCTGTGCACCAAATGTACTGCCAAGAACAATCTATTCAAGTGCCAATCTAAACATCTGATTTTGAAAAAAACATTTTGTTTGGAGGGGGGGGGGTTGAGTTGGTAAAACCTCGTGATTGAAATGCAAGCAGATTTGCTTTGAATTTATTTGTTGTAGCACTGTAATGTTGTCTTGATTTACACATGTGCTCAGTGTGCATACACAGTTTTAAAGAGAAACATTACTAAGTCCTGTTGGTTCCATGACTTTATATATTTTTAAAAAATATTTATGCCATAGTTGATACAGCTCAAGTAATATGGTCTGCTCACCTTTTGGGTGCTCAAATTTTAGAAATACAATTGTAATGTGTAACAGTGAGCTATCCCAGCCCTCTTCTACACTGCCATATGATCCAGGTTATCAAAGCAGATAATCCAAATTTTATATAGCAGTGTGGATGGGGCACCAGTTCCTTAAATTGTTCTCCTTCTTTCCAAAAGTCTATCATCTCAGAGCTGAGGAAAGCCTTTCCCACAAGATCTGGTTGGTAGCATGTTTGAATGGGTGCTGAAGGTTGAGATTTGCTTTTTTTTTTTTAGTCTGAAATAAGACCCTCAAGGCCAACTGCAAGAGAAATACTAGAGGACTGGGAAGTTTAAGCATATGTGTACTACCCCGCTGCTAAATATTAAGATTTTGCCAGAAGCCATGTTTCATAGATTGTTAATCTGCTATAAATTACCTTGGCACTTCTTTGATTCTAAGGCATGGTATACATTTGAACAAATAAAATGCTGGAGTTTTTAGGGTACATTTGAAATAAATTTATATTAGGAATATTGTGTTCTTGTTCTGAAACTCTTAGCAGCTGGAAAATCATTATGTGACCAACAGTGGGTATCTGTGGAAAGGTAGTCAATAACTCTGGGGACTAGGGTTTGATTCCCTGCTTGGCCATCCATGGAAACCCACTGTGTGATCTTGCATGAATCAACACACTTTCATCTCCAGAAACCCCCATGATAGGTTCATCCATAAGTCAGAAACAACTGCGAAGACTTCCAACAACACCAACAGGGATAGTGTTCTGTTTCTTCAAGAGCTCCTGCCCCCGGCATCCTCCTCTTTCCTTTTGAAAGATTAATACTTTCCTGTCTTTGGTCAGAAAAAAATGGTTCAGTCGTTTCAAAGAAAAGATCCACTCCAACATAATTCCATGCTGTGCTTCCCCCCAGAAGTCATTCATTTCTGTGTTTCCTTGATAAGTCCAGGGAATGTATCTATTGATATGAGGGATTGCACTGTATATTCCCACAGCTAAGTGAGTAAACTATATTCTTCAAGTCATGTGGGGTAGCTGTGTTTATTTTGGTTTTAAAATGCATATTTAAGTAATATCTTTCTTAATATTCAATTGTAGTGATGGGAAGGTGGAGTGAACACAATATTGAAGTCACGTGTTTAGAATGAGGTAGTGGCTTAAATCAGCTGAATTCCTGCATGAATAATGTTTACACGATGTCCAGTGTGTCAAATAAACAGCTGTAATATTGTAGTAACACAATGAGAGTGCAGAGGAAATTAACCCCAGAAGTCAGCACAGAGAATCCTGTAGAGGGAACTCTTCTCCAGAAAGCAATAGGGGGAGGTGGGAATTACTCTTAAATATGAATGCTTGTTTATAAGAAAAAATAAACCTGGATAAATTACAAAGATTTCATAAGACGCACAAGAAATTTGTTTTTAAAAACAGACTTTTATTTTCAGGTTTATGGCACAAAAGATAACACTGTAGAGGCAAAAGTATTGATTCAAAGCTTGAAAAACAAATCAGCCAATAGCAAAAAAAAGTTGGCAGTCAACAGGATTTTTTCCAAATCAAAAGTTGCAGAGGCCAAGTAATTTGGTGCTTGTGACTCATCTGGGTGCCTCCAGTAATTACCTCCCAGGTTTATGGCAGATTGGCACGGATGCTACCATGGGGTTGGCTTGTGATTGGAGCAATCCTATAACAACAACACTTTTGGTTTTAAAGGCCAGTTCACATGATCAGCAACCTGAGAACCAACCTAAGCTGACATGATCAACAATCTAAGGACTACACTTCTCTTGAGGACTGATGTCTCTACTGCAATATTCTTAGAAAATAGACCGGGAAGGGGGGGGGGGGGGGGGGTGGTTGCAACTGGGAAGTTGGAAACATGAAGTTGATATGAGATGCTTCAACCTCCATTGTGAATCTAACTATATTTAACAGCTGTTGGTTTGGTTTGTTTCCCATTTACTTTCAGGTATGACAGAGACAATGCATACATTTTATACCAGCTGCATCAAGAGCACAGTATCTCTGTGAGGTTTACATCTACCGCACTTCATATTCCAGGTATAGATTCCTAACACTGTCACACAACTTGTACATTGTAATAGTTGTGGTCCCCAAATTCAATCAATAAAGCATCTTTGAGTCCTCTTCACAGACAAAACTTGCTCGTTCGTTAATTGACATTGGGATGGTTGCTGTGGTAGCTTTGTCCCCAGAACCCTCTGATTGCTACACAAACCCAGAAAAACAACAACCAAAACCTGAAATTGGTCAGGATGTCTACTGCTAGCTTTGAAAAAAACGGGGGCAGGTCTGCAGGATTTCTCAAGAAGCAATTTACGCAATTTTTGGTCAGAAGGAAATCTGGAGTGGCCAAGGGCTGCAAAAGAACAGCGTCGTGAGCCACATTTTGTCCACTCTTTAGATACTTGTCACTGTTTATTGTTTGATGACCCACCATTTGAAAGTGACAGTTTTTATTCAAATCTGAGTCCCCTTGTGGAGAGAAGGATGGGATAGAAATGTATGAAATAAATAAAATATGCCAGCTTTGATTAATGATGCTTCCATGGTCTAAACTTAAATATTTATATATCATCCATCAAGAAATGATGCCAGGGAGTTCATTAAACTATAAGAATATATAGAAAAATAGAAGTACAGATCTGTAAAAAAAAAATCTCACATTCTGATTCAGTGCAAGGAAAATAGCTTGGTTTAGATGTCTTTAACTTGTCAGAGGACTTCTAATACTGATAGAAATCCAGGTGTCTACCATCACTTGCTCCTTTCCACTTCACTCTGAAAGAATGCCATGGCCTGTCCTCAGCAAAGAGAGGTATTATTTTAGAACATGAAGGCTTAATTACATGCCAAACTTTGTGGTATTTGAATTAGGCAATGGGATTTCTTCATAGGCTATTTTCATGTAAGGATACTTCATGGGCAAAAACCAATATTCGAGGTTGTAAAAGAGGTAAAACTGGTGATCCAGAACCACCTCATCAACTATTCTCAAGAGGTTTACAAAGAATTCTTTGACTGACCGAAAAGGTTTGAATGGAGAATAGAAGTTTCTAATTGCAACAGCTACTGTTTTGTTCCCACGTGGTCCAAATATAGTTGTTTCATTTCCCAAATAAGTGGGCTGTCCACTGAAGAGAGTGACGGTGGTATAGTTAGTTTGTATCTTCTTGAAAATAGCTCCAAGTTCAGCCAGTTTTTGATATGTCCGCAATACAAACTTGGAGCATTCGTACGACTCAAACCAAACTCTGGCATTCTTGTCTGGACTCTCTTTGACGGCCCACGTCTCATAGTAAATGCCAGTGTCATTGTCATATTTCACCCACTTCGCCATTTCATTAAACACAGCTCCTGTAAGAAGGCAGGAAAGAACGTCATTCTGTTCAGAATTTTACTGCATATTTTCTAAGTTAAAACATCTACGGCCCAGAAAACGGATTTCGGAAGCTATGCAAATAATATTAATGGCTATGGCCTAGGTTACTGTTTTAGTCTGAACTAGAATTCTGTTTCAATCTGGACAAGAGTTAACTTTATTTATTAAAATGAATAGGTCCACTGATTTCAGTAGGTCTAGTCTAATTTGAAATTGATGTTAAATTAAGCCTCACACAATTATGAATTTGGCACATCTACTGTGCTTCTAGATATTCACTAGGACTTCAGCACATACTCTCTTTTTAAAAATAATGCACAACATAACTTCCTGTCAAAAGTATTCTGATGAACCTTACTGAATAGTCACACTTTTAGACTGTTCCAAGAGGTAATAAAATTGACTACTAGTACAACAAGAATGTAAATGTAGTTGCAAATAATAACATTTGTCTATCCAAAAACTAGAATAGGGAGAGGAGGAATTGTGCATCTGTATATTTAAAAGTAGGAAAAGAGTTGAAAATGGTTTAAAATGATCCCCTCAAACCTAACATTTTGTAAGGAAAGAAGAAGAAGAAAATATTATTATTATTATTATTATTATTATTATTATTATTATTATTATTTCTTACCCGCCTCTCCTCATGGCTTGAGGCAGGTTATAACATTGCTAAAAACACAATAATCTAAAAACATTCTATAAAATACACATATTAAAACATTTCTACAAAATACATATTAAATACACAAAACAAAGATTAAATAAACATAAGATGCAATTTTAAAATTTGTGATTAAAACTGGCTAGGTAAGCCTGCTGGAAAAGGTAAGTCTGCAAATGTGTTATAAATTCCAACAGCTCATTTAGCTGTCGGATCTCTTCTGGCAGGTCGTTCCAGTCTTGGGGATACCCACCACAACAACTCACTGCATTGATGTTTTGATAGGTAAGGACTTGGTTACAGAAAAATAATCCATTACAAATCCATTACTTGTAACTCATTGTTTCTGAGTTCTGCTTTTTCTGATCTTTATTGCTCTAGCGTGTGGAGCTCCAGTTTTACTTCAAAGCTGCTGCAGCTCCTGTCTGCTTTGCATTATATGTATATGTGTATATATGTGTGTATGTGAGAGAGAGGGTGTGTGTATATATACACACACTCTGCAAAACCCAGCAAATGGGAAAACAGATCCATCCATGATGCTCACACTCCCAACAGGGCTATTTACCTTCATTAAGGTTCTCTGACTAAACAGGGTTGAGGCTTATAAGCCAGGTGTATAAACACTATAAAACTTCTTCAAGTTCACTAAAATATCTACATATTATAGGAGGGGAGTGAAAGCACTAAGAGTAACAAAACTTCCTGGCACAGTGGGATGTGGGCTACACTACCAGAAGAGGTCGTTGTAGTTGCCAACTTTAAAAGAGGGTTGGGCAGATTCATGGGGATGGGGCCACTAGGGGCTAGTACTCTGGGCAGCCACACCCCACCTCCAGCACAAGGGGCCTCATGTCTATAAATCCGCTGCCAGGGAGTGTTAGATGGAGGGGGCAGCTGTCCTGCTGGTGGCCTTCCCTTAGGCAACCAATTGGATGTTATGGAGCAACATGGCTCTTATGTTCTTACTCTCCTTGTCATTATGTATTTTCCTACCATCTTCCCTAAAACAATTGTTGGCCTGTTTCCCACCTTCCACATTCATTGTTTCGAGGGGAGAGGGAGGCAACAGTGTGCCTACTTCCCCACTTATTGCAATGTATCACAGACTATAGGGACACATACTCTTTCCATTGAAATTAGGGAGCAAGGAAGGAGGAGAGAGAAATACTGTTTATGAAACAATAGGTATGAAGAGCCCATGTCTCCTATCACACAGTAGACAAGATGGGCCATCAACAGTGGCTGCTAAGAATTGGTACATATCCTCCCTCTTTCATCACAGGGCCTATTCCATGGTTCTGAACTGGCTCTAAATTTCCTAACAATCTCCCCTCCGGAACTTCAGATTCCCCCAAAATGGGACTCTTGGTTTTCTCCTAGCTTCCCCCACCAGCAGTTTTGAGCACATTGCACCCCCTTGTTTTTTCTCCAAAACTATAAAGCACTGAGCACATTCACATGAAAACTCAGCACCCTTCGGCCCCATTGATGCCGTTGGGTTGAGGGAACAATGGGTTGTTGCAGGAGCCACAGGTGGGGGTCCTCTTTGTTAATTCCAACTAAAGAGGGCCCTTTTAAGCCACTGGTGAATGGCGAGTCAACACAGAGGTAAATCAGATTGCTTCTGTGGCAGTTCTCAAGTGGGACTGATTATAGGCCACAGAATTTTATTTTTGGCTGAAAAAGGAACCAAGACCTGCAACAGGAAGTCACGTCCAACCACAATTTCTGGGCTGAAATGAAGGTTTGCAGAGCTTTGGGGTGTTCCTAGCAGCATGTGTGAATTTTGGTGTGAAAACCCCCTCTAAAATGGACATTTGAGGAGCTAGGGAAATCTGTGTATCCCCAAAAGATCTCTAGATGAGCAAATGCTACTGTTTGTTGACTGCACAATTCCCAGCTCTGGGAAGGATATTTTAATCCCCATCTGCTAAAATTATGTTTTTAACACTCCCTTAATGCCCAGCTAATTGCAGAAAAACTATAGCCATTAGCCAGACATGACTGCTTAGGTTTTTTAACCAGGCAGATTTCAAATCTCTGTATTTTCCACAGAGGAAAGAACCTCAGTTCAGTTTTTGTCTTGCTTATTATGGTATCATTTTCTCGGTGCTGCTCATACAATTAGTCATTATGGAATGTTTAATGTTTCACTTCCTTTGAAAATGTGGATCTCGGCTCTTAACTACTGACAGACAAGTCTGAGGAACATTATAGGCGCTGCTGACTGATGAGGTTTGCTTCTCTCACAAGCTGTAAGATTTACACTTGGCCAGTGTTAAAATGAGCAAGATACTCAAAAGTCAATGTAAACACAGCACACAGTGGAAATGAGGCATGGGATGAGCAGCTGAGGCCCTTTACAATGTTTTTGAATTGTAATAAAGCTGTAGGTGAAAAAGAGTCACCTGCCACAAAGGTTCGGTATAGTTAACTTTGTCTTCTGAGATGAAACTGGAAGAAGTCCTTTAGTTTCACTAGAAACATAATGGGTTTCAGGCAGCTGTCCCCCCATGTTTTGTGGATACAAGATCCTGACATTTTCTTCATTGTGCAGCTGAGAAAAATGATCTTGGGACAATTATAATTATCATTAAACTCCTTTGAACTGTGTAACAAGACTTATGGGAATGCTTGACTGCTTACCTGAGATTGTGGTCACCTGGACCAACGTCCCATTCTCTTTCCAGTGGACATTATCTATTCCTTCATAGAAGCAGGCAGCTCCTTGGTTGCACCAAAAAGGCGCAAACAGATCAGGCCGTATATGCGGAAATGTACAGTTTCCCAGCTGAAAGAGCTCATACCACTCCATCGTGTAGTTTTTCCCTGTTAAAGTGCTCCTGAAACCGACAGCATCGTGCATGATTTTCTGAAAGAGGCAAACAAGCAACCATGACACGGGCAATGTTTATTTATGTATTCATTGTCTTTATACCCTGCCTTTTTCTCAAGGAGCTTAAGGAAGCAGACACGGCTGTTCTCCTTCCTACTTGATTTTCAAACATCCCTGTGAGGAAGTCACACTGAGGGAAGGTCAACCCATGAGATTTGTAACTCAGGAGGGATCTACATTTGGATTTCCCAAATCTAACAGCATGCAAGTGTTACAGAGTTTGCTTCCTTAAATTTTCAACTTTTGGAAAGTGCAAAATATCTGGAGAGTCTCCACTACCTGATCTGAGAAGAAGAGTTTAACAATTGTAAAAAACAGAAGTAGCCAAGGTTAAATATTTTTAAAGCAATCTTGATAGTGTAATTTTTAAAAGTACTTTGAGTAATTTATAAAATTAGTTAGGAAAAAAATCAGAGAGTTCAGAGCCCTGCCAAGTTGCCATCTTGGCATTTTCCAAACACATTAAACACCAACCTTGTTTTTTTATACACCTATTTAAATAAATAAACTATGCTTATTCATTGACATTATACCTCTTGATGTCAGTTGGGGTAAGAGCAGAAGGGCAGAGGAAGGGGAAGAGGGAGAAAAAGCCACCATACCATACGTCCAAAGAGGTCTCCCACTTTGAACTCCCAGACAGGGGCCTGCAGTCGATAAACTTCCAAGACATCCTTGTCGCTCATCAGTGGGATGGGAAACCCAGTTGGGCAGAAAGTGTATCGGGCTTGACAGTAAGGATCTGTTTTAGGGCGGTAATCAAAACGCCTGCATTAAAATAAAGTCATTCATTATTTCAATGAAAAAGATGCAAAAATGTTTACGTGACACATTGATAGTTGCTTCTGGCTTACACTTCTTGGAGAGTTTTTGTTTATATATGTTACACAATTTCCCCATTCCGTGTAAAAAGCTTTTTCTCAGAAGCTTGCAATCCTTCATACATTAAAATCCCTAAAATCATATGGTTTGCATCTTAAAGATACCAGGACTTCCAATACATTTTTATTTCAGGAGACTATGCAGCTCTGCTGAAGCTCCTTCCACTCCACACAGAAGGGATAAAACAAGAACTGAAAGACAATGAGTTCAAATTACAGGAAAAGAGATTCCACCTTAATATTAGGACTTCCTGACTATAAGAGCCGTTCAGCAATGGAACTTTCTGCTTCCGAGTGTGGTGGAAGCTCCTCCCTTGGAAGCTTGTAAATGGACTGGAGGGCCATCTGTTGGGGGTGCTTTGATTGTGTTTTTCCTGCAAAGCAGGATGTTTGACTAGATGGCCTATGTGGTCTCTCAACTCTATTATTCTATTACTCTAGGTGCCATGAAGGGCCCTTCCTTAACACCACTTAGCACACGGATACAGCCCTCTAGACCAAGTTAGCTTGTAGCTCCAACCAGGAGGATCAAAGTTGCAATTAAACATCTGGAGGGCCACCTATTCGCAATCCTTGAGCTAATACTTTTCTGAGTGGTCCAAATAGTAAGTCAGGTGAAAAAAAGTCCAGTTTGTGAGTTCCACATCCCTTTGTAACAAACCCCAGAGACCCAGCAAGTGGAGCATGGCAAAGAGTTACTTTTTGGTTCATTTGGGCTGGATCTACACTGCCATATATCCCAGGAGCCCCGGGTGGCACAATAGGTTAAACCCTTGCAGGACTGAAGACCGACAGGTCGGAGGTTCGAATTTGAGGAGAGCGGGGATGAGCTCCCTCTGTCAGCTCCAGCTCCCTATGCAGTGACATGGAGAAGCCTCCCACAAGGATGGTAAAACATCAAAACATCCCGGCGTCCCTGGGCAACGTCCTTGCACATGGCCAATTCTCTCACACCAGAAGTGACTTGCAGTTTCTCAAGTCGCTCCTGACACGAAAAAAATCCCAGATTATTTGGCAGTGAAGACACATAGTCCAGTTGAAAACAGATAACCTGGGATACAGGTCAGTGCAGATCCAGGCTTGGTGAGCTCTGACCAAATGGGGCTTCTGGAGGCAAAGTCTAGTTGGAAATGACAGCCTTCTTCAAGCCTCCTCTACTAATATGTTTTCCTGCCTCACCTGTAGGGCACGGGCCACGCGGAGCAAGGAAGAGGGAAGAGCACCACCGACACCAGCAAGAGCCAAAGAGACGCCATCTTCCCTGGAAACGGAGGGCGACAGGCCAGGCGGAGAAGGAGAGAAGCGTCCTCGCGGGATTCGCTTCCGGGCAGGTCCCCTCCGGAGTCAGCTGAGCGAGGCCGTCACATGACAAGCCGAATGGCAGGTGTAGTGCGCGTGCGCTCTCCGGCCGACTCTCTTCACGCGCAGGCGCACTCCTTGCTCCGCCCTTATGTGGACTTCAGCTCCCAGAACCCCCTGCCATTGCCTGAGGCGGCGAAGGCTGCTGGGAGTTGAAGTCCAAAACTACCAGAAAACGTTTGGGTTTGGGGATTCAGATTTGGTGATGGGAAACAGCGTGACACCACTTTTAACAGCCTGTGGCTTATAGTTTCACAAGGTCTTGGGCCTTCTTGGCCAAGGGTGATAGTGCCCCGCCAAAGTCCAAATCCCAGGATCCGAGAGCATTGAGCCATGGCAAAGTGGCACCAAACTGCATTCATGTGATACTAGTGCCCCCAAGTCATAGAGCAGGTATGGGCCAACTTGAGCCTTGCAGGTGTTTTGGACTTCAACTCCCACCATTCCTAACAGCCTCAGGCCCTTTCCTTTTCCCCCTCAGCCGCTTAAGCTTAAGCGGCTGAGGGGGAAAAGGAAAGGGCCTGAGGCTGTTAGGAATGGTGGGAGTTGAAGTCCAAAACATTTGCAGGAGCCAAGTTGGCCCATGTTTGTCCTAGAGGAAGGCACATGCCGACCCTTTATGAATAAATCTGGCCAAGAAAAACTCCATGGAAGGTTTGCTCTAGGGCAGGTCTGGCTTGCCCAACTTCAGCCTTACAGGTGTCTTGGACTCCAACTCCCATAATTCCTAACAACTTACCGGCTGTTAGGAACTGCAGGAGTTGGAGTCCAAAACATCTGGAGGTCTGAAGTTGGCCCAGGCCTGCTCTAGGGTCTCTATAAGCTGGAAACAACTTGAAAGTGCCCAACAACAACTGTAACAACTATACATGGCCTGTCTTCCATTGCATGTGGAAGCCCTGATCTGGACTGAAACAAGTCGGGTATGAAGGGGAACTAAAATTTGTTATCCCCCATGTTGTTGTTTATTCGTTTAGTTGCACCCAACTCTTTGTGACCTCATGGACCAGCCTACGCCAGAGCTCCCTGTCAGCTGCCACCACACCCAGCTCCTTCAAGGTCAAGCCAGTCACTTCAAAGATGCCATCCATCCATCTTGCCCTTGGTCAGCCCCTCTTCCTTTTTCCTTCCATTTTCCCCAGCATCGTTGTCTTCTCTAAGCTTTCCTTTCTTCTCATGATGTGGCCAAAGTACTTCATCTTTGCCTCTACTATCCTTCCCTCCAGTGAGCAGTTGGGCTTTATTTCCTGAAGTATAGACTGGTTGGATCTTCTCGCAGTCCAAGGCACTCTCAGCACTTTCCTCCAGCACCACAGTTCAAAAGCATCAATCTTCCTTTGCTCAGCCTTCCCTAAGGTCCTGCTCTCACATCCATAGGTGACTATGGGGAATACCATGGCTTTAACTATGCAGACCTTCGTTGCCAGTGTGATGTCTCTACTCTTTACTATTTTATCGAGACTGGACATTGCTCTCCTCCCAAGAAGCAAGCGTCTCCTGATTTCCTGGCTGCAGTCTGCATCTGCAGTAATCTTTGCACCTAGAAATACAAAGTCTGTCACACGTTTTCTCCCTCTATTTGCCAGTTATCAATCAGTCCGGTTGTCATAATCTTGGTTTTCGTTATGTTTAACTACAACCCAGCTTTGCGCTTTCTTTTTTCACCTTGATTAGAAGCCTCCTCAGCTCCTCCTCACTTTCGCCCATCAAAGTGGTGTCATCTGCATATCTCAGGCTCTTAATGTTTCTTCCAGCAATTTTAACCCCAGCCTTGCATTCATCAAGCCCCGCACATCGCATGATGTGTTCTGCATACAAGTTGAATAGGTTGGGTGAGAGTATACAACCCTGCTGTATGTCTTTCCCGATTTTGAACCAGTCTGTTGTTCCATGGTCAGTTCTGACTGTTGCTACTTGGTCCTTATACAGATTCCTCAGGAGAGAGACAAGGTGATTTGGTATGCCCATACCACCAAGAACTTGCCACCATAAAGGCCTGTAAAGTCTCGATGCTCTTTGGACTGGAAAGAAAGCTCTCATTGGCTGGGATGCTGGAAAAGAGGCCCCATTGAGAAGAGAAGACGGGCTCCACTAACCAGCGGAGGAGAAAATAAAAACAACAAGGATGTCTCCGTGTAAAGGAGCGCCTGATAGATTGGATGTCTTCCTTGGGTCTGGAATTGCCCAGGGAGGGGGCGTGGCCTGGTATGCCTTCTGGGCGCGGCCAGCAGGGGGCGCGCTGGAGCCGGAGAAGAAGGAGAAGGCTGTGCAGATGGCGGGGCGGCGGGTGGCGCTGGTCCTGGCCGGGTGCGGCGTCTTCGATGGCAGCGAGATCCACGAGGCCTCGGCCGCCCTGGTCCACCTCAGTCGCGCCGGAGCAGAGGTGAGGCCCCGCGGCCTTGGGAGGCCCTTTCCTGGAGCGGCGTTCCCCGAGCATGGCCTCCCGGGAGGCTTGGACTTCATTTCCCAGAATCCCCGACCATTGGCCGAAGCCGCCGAGGCGTCTGGGAATTGAAGTCCCAAAGTCCTGGAGGACCAAAGTGTCTTTAGACTCCCAGTATATTTGCCCTGTCTATGTATACTGCTTGGGCCTCTAGCCTCACTGCGTTCACTCCCAGCCGGTTTAAACACAATTGCAGCTTTAGGAAATTAAGTCCCGCTGAATTTGGACCGGGCTGTGGCGCACCTAGTTAGTAGCCAGCTGTATTAAATCACTACTTATTTATTTATTTATTTATTTACTGCATTTGTTGACCGCCGTTCTCAGCCCTAGGGCGACTCACGGCGGTGTACAACATATAAAAACAGTTTACAATAGGCAATATCACAACAAAATCAACATAACTATCAATAATACAATTACACTAAATCATCCGCGCCGTCTCATCGTAGAATCATAAACCAATCTCGTTATCCATATTCCGTTCCAGTCATCATTGCCAATTGTTGTAGCACTTAGTCAAACGCCTTCTCAAATAACCATGTCTTTAGGCTCTTGCGGAATGTCATAAGGGAGGGCGCCTGTCTGATGTCTACAGGGAGGGTGTTCCACAGCCGGGGGGCCACCACCGAGAAGGCCCTATCCCTCGTCCCCGCCAGGCGTGCCTGTGAGGCAGGCGGGATCGAGAGAAGGGCCTCCCCAGACGATCTCAAGGTCCTCGTGGGCTCATAGGCCGAGATGCGGTCAGACAGGTATTTTGGGCCGGAACCGTTTAGGGCTTTGTAGGCCAACACAGCACCTTAAATTGGGCCCGGTAGCAAATCGGCAGCCAGTGGAGCTGGAACAACAAGGGCGTTGTGTGCTCCCTGCGTCCCGCTCCTGTTAGTAACATGGCTGCCGCGCGCTGGACTAGCTGAAGCTTCCGGGCCGTCTTCAAGGGCAGCCCCACGTAGAGAGCGTTGCAGTAGTCCAGGCAGGATGTGACCAGAGCGTGTACTTACCGAGAGGTCCTATCACCACTGATCAAAAGGTCATGAGTTCGAAGCCAGGCCGTGTTAGAGTGAGCTCCCGACTACTTAATAGTCAAGTTTGCTGTTGACCTATGCAGCCCAAAAAAACTCTCAGTTAAATCTGTCAAATAGGAAATTTGGGTACCACTTTATGCAGAAAGGCTAATTTAACTAATTTATGACACCATTAAAAAAATCCTTCCAACATTGTGCGTAAGAATGAGGAAGTACTCCATCAAGGACTCGGTGTCACAAGTAGACGGTGAAGCAATAGCTCCCCTGTGGCCAAAATTGAGCATACTCTCATGAAGCTGGAAAAGCTGGAATGTTAAATTGCCTCCGTGTCTGTCTATATATGTTGTCTGTCTAATTGGCATTGAAGGTTTTTCCATGTATATGTGCATTGTAATCCGCCCTGAGTCCCCTGTGGGGTGAGAAGGGCGGAATATAAATACTGTAAATAAATAAATTTGTGAGGTTCACACCTGAGTCCCCATTTACACTACCATTATAGTCAAGATTGAACAAGTATGCCTTAGTGCAGTGGTTCTTAACCTACTAGACCAGTGGTTCTCAACCTGTAGGGCCCCAGATGTTTTGGCCTTCAGCTCCCAAAAATCCTAACAGCTAGTGAACTGGCTGGGATTTCTGGGAGTTGTAGGCCAAAACACCTGGGGACCCACAGATTGAGAAACACTGGAGTGGTTTCAGCCTTGGACTATAACACTGGGAACAAGGGTTTGCGCCTCTCTCCACTTGGCCAGGGGAATCCACTAGGTGACTTTGGGAAGTCACACTCTCAGCCTCAAAGAACAGCAAAGGTAAATCCCACTCTGAACACTCTTGTCAAGGAAACTCCATGATAGATGACAATGACAATAATCATGATTTGTGTCCCACTTTGTCTCTATAGAAAAGGAGAGCAATACAATATATAATCGAGCGCCATATCAGAAACTACTGGAAGGCACACAGCATCCCATAATTGGCTCAGTAGACAACATTTAAAATAACATATGTGTATAATGGTGCTTCATACAGTCATACTGGCCACGTGACCTTGGAAGTGTCTACAGATAACGTCGGCTCTTCGGCGTAGAAATGGAGATGAGCACCCCCCCTCCCCAAGAGTCAGGCATGACTAGACTTAATGTCAAGGGGAAACATTTACCTTTACTATAAACTGTATACATTGTGGGAGCCCCTGTTGACTCAGCGGGTTAAACCACTGAGCTGCTGAACTTTCTGACCCGAAGATTGGCAGTTTGAATGCTGTAAGCCCATCTTCCGCCAACCTAGCAGTTCAAAAACATGCAAAATGTGAGTTGATCAACAGGTAACAGTGCGCCATGCTGGCCACATGTCCTTGGAGGTGTCTACAGACAAGGCCGGCTCTTTGTTTTAGAAATGGAGATGAGCACCACCCCACAGAGTTGGACACAACTAGTCTTAATGTCAAGGGGAAACATTTACCCTTTACTTATAAACTGAATTTTAAGGGTCTTCTCTCACTATATATTGAAACCTTTACATTCAGGAAACTTCTCAATCTTGATGCTTGCAGTAATTATCTTGATTGCATTTTTTTAAAAAATAAAATAAGAAAAGCCCTGCTTGATCTGGGTGCACTATAAGTTTCCTGTTCACTGCATAGTGTGCCTGCCTCATAGTCAATGCACACACACACATTTATTTGTGTTTTGTTTTCTTTTCAGGTAAAGATATTTGCACCAAATATTGAGCAAATGCATGTGATCGACCATTTAAAAGGTTGCCCAAGTGAAGAAAAAAGAAATGTCTTAGTGGAAAGTGCCCGCCTTGCAAGAGGCAACATCCAGGATTTGGCTGAATTGAAAGTTGGTGAATTTGATGCTGTCATTTTCCCAGGTGAGCCCTTTTGCAGGTAACTTCTTTACTCTTTCCTTGCTTGTCTTTGACAGTTTTGCATTCCCTGAATATGTGCAGTGTTATGGAGGGGGATAGGAGGGGAGTGTCTAGTGTTGTGTCCGAGTGTGACGACACTCCCCAAAGGAGAATACGTGTTCCCCAAAGGCTTGGTTTCCCAAAGGCTTGGCATCTCCTTTGAATCCTGTAGGGGTTGGGTGAAGGAGGGGTGGGATTACCCCCTCAAGAGACATGGACGTGTTTGGGAGCCAGGTTGGTGGAAGGGGTGGCATTGAAGGGCGGCCTAGCCCAAGCCCCTCCACATATGCCAAAGGTCCCTTCTCCCATTGCCCATTTCTGCACCAGAGGACCATGGGGATCCCCATCTCTGCTGTGATACTTTAGCTAGAGCAAGTCTCCCTGAACTCAGTCAGACACTGACTTATGTCTGGGGATACATTGTACAAAAACAAGTTAAGGAACTTGCCAACTGTTCACTCCTCAAAGTATTAAGATATTTGGAAATCTCAAAGGATGATCTGGTGCTGCAAATCTCATGTAGGGATAACTTGGAGGTCATACATAAGATAAAGGGATTTGGGCCTCACTGTTTTGCATATGTTTTAGCTTCCTTGGTATATGTCAGTTAGTTTTAACAAGCTATTTATTTATCGTGTCAGAAGCAAATTGAAAATATAGTTATAATGTATAGACCAGGGGTCCTCAAACTTTTTAAACAGAGGGCCAGGTCACAGTCCCTCAAACTGTTGAAGGGCCGGATTATAATTTGAAAAAAACATGAATGAATTCTTATGCACACTTCACATATTGTATTCGTAGTGCAAAAACACTTAAAAACAATAAATAATTAAAATGAAGAACAATTTTAACAAAAACAAACTTATTAGTATTTCAGTGGGAAGTGTGGGCCTGCTTTTGGCTGATGAGATAGGATTGTTGTTGTTGTGTGCTTTCCAGTCATTTCAGACTTGGGTTGGCCCTGAGCGAGGGCCGGGCAAATGACCTTGGAGGGCCGTATCAGGCCCCCGGGCCTTAGTTTGCGGACCCCTGGTATAGAAAAATAAAAAACAAAGTTAAAAACTTGGCATTATACTAAATGTCCTTTGACCAATCAAAGTGGTGTTTTTTCCCCTTCCCAATATTGAAAGTCTTCTTCCGTTCTTTTTCCTTTAAGGGGGTTTTGGAGTAGCGAAGAACCTGTGTTCCTGGGCTGTGAAAGGGAAGGACTGCTCTGTAAACGAACTGGTGAAGTCCACCCTTGAGGCCTTTCACAGTGCAAAGAAGCCCATTGGCCTGTGCTGCATCTCCCCTGTGCTGGCAGCCAAAATCTTCCCTGGCTGTGAAGTCACTGTTGGCCACAGCAAAGATACAGATGGAAGGTAAGCAAATAGCTGGCAATTTGGAGTATCACCTGTCTGCAGGTGGGCTTTAATGGGCAATGTAATGTAGAATCCTGAAATTTGCTGTTTAGGGGGAGACTTCCCCATGATCCTAGATTTTTTAAACCACAATCCAATAAATGACAACATACAGATAACAGAGAACCCAAAGTAACCTGTTATTCTGTGGAGATTATGAAAAACAATTTGGAGGATTTCCAACTTGCTTCTAATTGCAGCAAGAATGTGTCACTCCTTCTTGGAAATCTGCAGAACCGCTCTCCCAATCCTCTCTTTCTGGACACAGTTTCCTAGTTTTTGTGACTTGCTTTCTTGCAGATTTCCTGATGCGGACACAGCAGCTGCAATAGAAGAACTTGGATGCAAGCACATTTCCAAAGATGTGCATGAAGCCCATGTTGATTCTGCTAACAAGATTGTCACCACGTGCGCATTCATGTGCAAGGCCCCTTTGCATGAGATTTTCGATGGAATTGGAGCCATGGTTTCTGAAGTCCTGAAACTTGCCTGAGTGGGGACAGCTGGGTTAGCCCTTTGGTGACTGATGGAAATTATGTTTAACAAATAGAACTTATCATGATCAATGGGATTAATAAAATTTATTCAGCTCCTGAGTTTAGACTCTTGAATATTATCTTTGGGTTTGTTTTTTTTGTTTTGTTTTTTTAGTCTTTTAACAGGCTAGGCTTGTTTCTTTCTTCTCCCAGATTTTTTTTTGGGGGGGGGGGGTCAGGAGCGACTTGAGAAACTGCAAGTTGCTTCTGGTGTGAAAGAATTTGCCATCTGCAAGGATATTGCCGAAATGTTTTGATGTTTTACCATCCTTGTGGGAGGCTTCTCTCATATCCCCACATCGGGAAGTGGAGCTGACAGAGGGAGCTCATCCGTGCTCTCCCCAGATTCTAACCTCCAACCTGCCAGTCTTCAGTCCCGCTGGCACAAAGGTTTAATGTAAAAGTATTATAAGCTGTTTCCCATAATGCAATGAAGTGAGCAATTTTCATCCTACAGGTGCAAAATTTATACAGGTGGATCTAGAATATAGTTTTGCTAGGCTAATGTTTTTTGAACTGCAGGTCCCAGCAGATCTCTTGGCCATGGAAGCTGGAAATTGTAATCCAGTTCTATCTATTACGCTCCATGAGTCCCATCCCTCTCCCAAGATATTACAATCTGCCCATTAGCAAATTGAATTCCCAAGTTTCAGACACTTAGATTTACATGTTCAGGAGTAATAATAATAATAATAATAATAATAATAATAATAATAATAATAAAAACTTTATTTCTGGACTGCCCTCTCTCCCTGAGGGGAATCAGGGCAGATTACACATACAAAAAGGTGAGCATTCAATGCCTCAGGTGAGTACAAACATATCAAAATACTACACAATAAAGCAACAGGAACAACAGTGAGCTTATGACAAAGAATTAAGCATTGTGATGAAAAACAAAACAATAAGACATAGTTAACTAAAATACAAGTAAACATTACAACAAATACCCTAAAAATTTAAAAAACTGTTACATTAAAAATGGCTGGCACTAACGTTCATTTGAAATGTAACATGGCAGCCATGATGGCCATGCAGCAAAATCTAACAAAATCCAAATTCCACAAAATAATACTTTTATTGGACCAAATAAAAAAGGCAAAGGTTTCAACTGGTGCATATTTCAACTGCCCAGATGTTTGCAGTGGAACTGAACTCTACACATCTTTTCCTGGATTGTGTTCCTCACAAAGGATCTTGGATATCACCATGTTGTTGCAACAGGGTGGCAGTCTTTAATTTTTTATTGAATGCAGGTTGGTAAGGCACGAGAACAAATTCATTGCAGTAAAAATGACTTCTAGAACACCTTTTCAAGGCCATTTTAAAACATCATAGTTGATAATACAGAAAGAATCACTTGACAGTTTGTACATAATGCCTGGAGATGATGGGTGTCCATCACTCCCATCTAAAGTGTCCCAGAATCTCTGTGGTAGAAATATGATAACAAAGTTCACTACTCCTTGCCCTCAAATGAGACGTACAGAACTTGGTCTTCCTGCACTAGGAGACAGCAGGATTTTGGCCCAGGTTAAAAGCCATAGGACTTAGGGCCCTTCCAGGCAGGCCCTATGCCCCAGGATCTGATCCCAGGTTTCCTGCTTGAAACTGGATTATATGAGTCTGCACTGCCTGATAATCTGGGATAAGCAGAAACCTGGGATCAGATCCTGGGATATAGGGCCTGTCTGGAAGGGCCCTTTGAAGAGTTTTGTGATATTCTGCAAATGAAAGTACCATTAGTCAAGATCTGAAGAGCTATTCTTGCTCTACCAAAGCAGTGGGGTCTTGTTTATCTCACACACATACACACAGTCTAATATATTGATTGTTTTTGGCTCCTGGATGTGCATATAAAATGCATAATCATTTTGGATTTACTTTGCAGAAGTTCATCTGATCCATGGCAAATGATTTTTTGAGAAAACCAAACAATCCTAAGTCTGAAAAGCCATCTATCTCAATTGTGCAGGGATGAAACTTCATTTTAGAAGTCTCCTTCATGGCAGCTCACTTCTGAGTTTTGCCTGTTCGGCTGACAATTCATACCCTTGGAGAAGTGAGGTCAAAACTCTGCAGTCTTCTAATCTTTCTAAATGATTGACTGTTTCGATTATGCGATTGGCGCCTTCTAGGGAGAGAACAGTGGTGGCATTGGCATGGAATTTTTTCAACAGGTCGGCCCTGCGCAATGGCTTCCTCCAGTGCCCGTAGAAGGTGTCACAGCGCTCTGAAAAGGTGTTTCCATCTTTGAGGGTGATGACAATTTCACAGTAAAGGCTGTTAAAACTGGGGTGGTTGTCAAGAGGATGCTCTAGATGTGTCTTGCTGAGCAGCTCCTTTAGCTCTGGGCGGGAGATGTTCCTCTCTTTGAAGGACTCAACAGAGATGCACCCATCCAGCAGTGCAGAGCATGCCACAAATTGGAAGGAATGCCTAGCTTCATGTTCAGACGAAGGGAATGGCCTATTAACATATTGCATGTCCGGGACTTTAAGCAGGACCGACTTGATTCGGCCGATGGGGAGGGACTCCCCATTCTTTGCGAGGTGCTTCCGTGCGGCCAGGGCTGCTTCTGCCATCCAGTGTGTGCCGAGGTGTGCTGGGAAGCTCTTGATTGCAACGTCTTGTTGGGCCAGCAACCAAGAATAGCATTCCAAGCTTGGCAGAGTCTGAGGGAAGTATTCTGTATAAAAGACTCCAAAGCCTGACTCGAGGTCCAGGATCAGTTTGTTTGCCTGGAGACCCAAGGATGCCAAAGTGGTTGCTTCCAAGCCATGCTTGCTTGCGTTGCCCACATGGAGAGGTTTAGTTTGGGTGGCTGCATTGGCCAATGGTGCACCACCATAGGAGGCAGCAATTGCCAGGGCTTCCTTACATTTAAACTGATCGAGACCCAAGAGTTTAGCGGTGGCTGCAGCACTTCCCATGGTGCCAAGGATGGATGGTGGGTGAAACCTAAGAAAAGGCCAAAACAACTTTAGTTTTCTTGCAGAAAGATCTAATGTAACTTTCTGAAATTCATGATCTGCCCTTAAAGCAGTGTTTCTCAACCTTCCTCATGCTGAGTCTCCTTAATATAGTTCCTCATGTTGTGGTGACCCCTCAACCATAAAATTATTTTCATTGCTACTTAATAACTAATTTTGCTGTTGTTATGAATAATAATGTAAAGATCTGATATGCAGGATGTATTATCATTTATTGGACCAAATTTGCCACAAATTCCCAATACACCCAAATTTGAAGACTGGTGGGATTGGGGTGGGGGGGGAGGGAATTGATTTACTATTTGGGTATTGTAGTTGCTGGGAAACTATGGGATATAAAAGTGCAGAGCTTTGGCTAAATAATTGTGTTGACCTTCATTATGAACAGGGCCCCCTGGGGGTGCAGCAGGTGAAACTGCTGAGCTCTGAACTTGCTGACCAAAAGGTTGGCAGTTCGAATTGGAGGAGAAAGGTGAGCTCCTGCTTTTAGCCCCATCTTCTGCCAACCTAGCAGTTTGAAAACATGAAAATGTGAGTAGCTCAATAGATACTGCCTTGGCGGGAGGGTAACAGCATTCCTTGAAGTCATGCTGGCCACGTGACCTTGGAGCTGTCTATGGACAATGCCGCTTCTTTGGCTTAGAAATGGAGATGAGCACCACCCCCCAGAGTTGGACACGACTGGACTTAATGTCAGGGGAATCCTTTACCTTTGCCTTATTATGAATACAGTTTATCCTTTTCAGCTGTTATTGCTGCTGTTATTTAGATCAGGGAGATTTGCCTGAGAAATGTATCAAGTGAAACACAAATTGCATCCCATGTCTCTTGAAATCCAAAGGGATATTCATGCTTAGGTTCAATTAATATCCTTTACAAGAACTGCACCTCAACTCTACAATTGGCTCTCTGTTATCAATGGATTCTGAACAGATGTAACTACCAATGACTTCAAGATATCAACCCCTCCCAAGAGATAAGATACAACATCTTAATATGCCACTATATATGATGGGGCTTTTTATCCATTGGGGTCCTGGAACCAAACCACAGTGGATACAAAGGGCCCACTACACTGAAATGGTTTTCTTAACATACCTTTTAGGAACATTGCTGGCCTCCTTTGAAAAGTGCATCAACCTTCCTTGTACTTCAATTCCTACATTGAAAGCCAAAAGCAAGTCTTGACCAGAAATCCGTTGCTTTTTAGATATGGCTTCGGAGGCAGCAAGAAGAGCAGCCAGCACAGCCCCAGAGGGGTGTGTGGCTGGGTGCCAAGTGTCATCAAAATCCATGGAGTGAATCTTTGGAAAGAATGAAAAATGCTCTGATTTTAGATCACCGGTTAAATATATATATTATATTTAAAATAAACATTCTGATTTCTAGATTTCATATTGAAATCTTGAGTTCTTTCAGACTTAGAGTGACCCTAAGGCGACCTTATCATTGCATTTATTTTTGGCAGGATTTATTCGGTGGGGATTCACCATTGCCTTCCTGAGACTGAGAAAAATGGGTTTCCATACCTGAGCAGGGATTTGAACATCCCTGCTCAGGTATGGAAATCATATTTCTCAGCTCAAACCACTACACCAGCTCAATATTGCCATTTATACAACCCATCATATCTGCAGGATGTAGGTCTATAATTTCACTTGCCCAGATCTGAAAACACATGATCTATAGTATGGTTCTGCTAAAACGGACCATAGTGTTACACTGGAGGTCCTAGAAATACTAGAAAGGTGTCCTCTCTTAAGTATTTTCTAGGTCCTGCAGTGCAGTATTATGGTATACTTCCACTAGAAGTTGTTTATTTTAATAGGCCTTGCTAATATTTGCATTTTCATACTTTTGTGGCAATTCCACGAATACAGTGTTCCCTCACTTATTGCGGGGGTTCCATTTCAGGACTCCCCACAATAAGTGAAAATCCGTGAAATAGGAACATCTGGCTCCCTCTCCCCTCTTACTCCTCCTCCTCTTCCCCCCTCCTTCCTAAACTACCAGCGCTTCGATGCAAGACCCAGCCAAGGCCTTCTCTGCCAAAGACGGCCCTTGCCCTTCCGAACCTGGCCCCGATCCTGTCCCCTCCACCTTGGGCCCACCTGCTTACCTCTTTGGGGACCATGGCCCATGGCGCAGGCAGACAGGCAGGCCAGGAGGCAGAGGGAGGGAGGGAGAGCTTGCTGGAGTAGGAAGGAGGTGCGGATGAGAGAAGAGAAGGCAGCTCATCGAAAGTAGTGGTGTTTCCCTTGCTCTCGGTGGTGGCCTCCTCGCCGCCTCCTCTTTCCTTGACAACAACGTTTCAACACCCTCCCTCCGCCAGCGGCAATCAATGGCCCGTCAGCACCAATAAATCCATATTTATTAAAAAATTCATTATTTAAAAAAAACGCGAAACAGCGAGTCTGCATAAAGCGAACCGCGAAGCGGCAAGGGAACACTATATTCTCCAAGATATGGGAGTCATACATAGTAATGTAGAAATAGTAACAGGGTGCAGAATGATGATTGGTTCACTTGCACGGTGGCTTGGTAATGTTGCTTTTTTGGACTGTAGCACACAGTATCCTGAAGCTCTATGTGGCATAGGAATTCCAAACTGTGGTCCCAAAATTATTCCCTCCCTCCAGGTTATGGGATACATGACACTTTAGAAATTATACTACTAGTAAAAAACAGTGAGGTGGTTTTTTTTTTCAGTTTGAAAAGGACAGAAAATCCAAAAGCTAGAAGTCAGGAATATAGTGCTGTAGAGCTGTCTCGCTGAATGCTTCGATATGATACCCACTTACTTGAGAATAAGTGCTATTGCATTCACTGAATTTCTTTTGGAATCAATGTATATAAAATTGCACTGCCTGGGGTTTCACTCTGAATGGCTAGCCTGTGTACCACAAAACAAAACAAAAAACCTATGAAGCCTGCCACATCTAGAAGTGTATTTCCTTACCGCCACTCCATTCACAAAAGCTGCATACAGAGCAGGAAGCTTAAGATACGGGTGACCCCAGACAGAGCTGGATGTGTCGGAGCTGTAGATCTGAAACCACAGGACAACAGTTTAGTATACAGTTAAGAATAAGCCAATTAATTTTAATTCTCCTGAGAGACAGAAATACCACAGTGTAAGGCACTCAGGACATTTTTTTTTACAATTTGTCTATATCAGTGGGCCCCCGAGATGTTTTGGCCCACAACTCCCAGGAATCCCAGCCAGTTTACCGGCTGATAGAATCGGAGTTGAAGGCCAAAATATCTGAGGACCCACAGGTTGAGAACTACTGGTCTGAATGAAAGAGAAGGGAGAAATTTTGCCTAAAATACAATGGAAGTGAGAGCACTAATAACCTGCCCTTGGTTTGTTCGTTTAAAGTTTGATATTTTACTTGGGATGCCATAAAGAGGCTGTAGCCGCTGCCCCTTTTTGCTGAATTGTCTTGCTGGTCCCTTGAAATCCACCACTCTCTACACCAATGGTTCTCAACTTGTGGATCCCCAGGTGATTTGCCCTACAACTTCCAGAAATCCCAGCCAGTTTACCAGCTGTTAGGGAGTTGAAGGCCAAAACATCTGGGGACCCACAGGTTGAGAAGCACTGCTCTACACCAATGCTACTCAAGGTGATGCTGTTTCAGGTGCAGAAAACTATGCAAATAGGATTGTAACATGGCATCAATACAAGATCTGCCCCTGGCATTTAGAGTAGTTTTTTTTGGGGGGGGGGGGGTTGCTGATCCACCACATCAGATGGTTTATGTGGCACATGCTGAAAAGTACAGTTTCCAGAGCTTTTGTCGGGACAGGATCTTTTCCTTCTCCACAACTCCTTGGAGATCCCAAGGACTTGACCTGGAACCATTTGCATGTCCTGTATTCTGCGGCCATGCATTGGCTCCTACTTCTCAAGTTCATGAACAATATGTCATGAAGCCTGTGTGTGAATGGGGGTGCTTCTGTGCCACATATATTTTCTATCAAAATATAATACATTATGCAAATATCAGCAATGCCATAATACTTATAGGAAATTGTATGCATTTGCATAGTACATTATGTACACTGTTTAAAAAATCCAGCTTTTTATGTGCTCGAACAGCTTTAAAACATGCTAATTATAGTTATAAATTTATAATTAGTTACATATTTTTGAAAGAAACATTTTGCTTTTCTTTTATTCAAAAATATGGAAGAAAGTAGCTCCTCATGCAAAAAAAGAAAAGAAATAAACATGAGGCACATCAGGAAAAAATACTAAATCGTGGAACACTCTGCCTCATTTAGTGATCCCATATACTCAGAACAAGAAAAGTGACTAAAAAGTTAGAGTTGTTGAAAAAAAGGTGAAAACTTATTCACAACTGAAGATATACACTTACTTTCAAGAATAGTTATTCATGTTATATACATCTTGAGCATCATACCTTGCTGTATTGTACCATTTTCTGAAAAACATCTGTCCTGGTGCCGAGCAGTCCAACTCCCAGGGTATCCAGAATCATCCGTTTGCTTCTCTGAATAACCACATCTGTCAGGTGGTTTGTGGTCAACCCATGGATTACATTAGCAAAATTTCCAGTAATATTCTAGCAAAAAAAAAAAGAATTCATAGATGTAGAATGCGTGCATCACCCATTGGGGTCTTTTGGAAGTCTCTGCAGATCATATATCATCTGCATTTGAACCACAAGACCATAGTCAGATGTTTCACCAACCCTCCACCTTCCATATCCATGGAATGACCACAGAGGGAAGAGCTGGAGAGGCTCAAGAGTTCAGTGAGATGCATGTGACCATTAAGGGGATAGAAGATAATGCAAACCAAGGTAATAAAAAAGATAAACACAATGTAAGTTGGACTTATGGTGTTGCCAGTAACAGGATACCAGTAAATGTATCACTGCACCAGAATCTCTCTGTTAGCAGAAAGCACCTGGACTCCTCTTCCTCCAGCTGTTCAATTCCACAAGAATTATAGAACTTCTATATGAATTGCTTTCCCTTCTTCAGAGTAATAAATGAAAAGAGTACCTTTGCCCACATCTTGCAATGAGTAGCACGTTCTCACTTCCTCTCAGATCAGGCTCCAGGAGAAACAGTGGAGGTGACCAGCTTTTCTGAGAATCTTTTGGTAAGGCAAAGAGACCCTGCCTTTTATATGCCATGAGGAACTGCTCTGGGGAATGTGAGGTGCCAGCTTGGCCCTTCGTCTGCCCAGAAGTTTCCTCTTTTCAACATTTCCAACTTTCCCCTGAACACAATAACAGAGATTGTAGACTACGGCAGGCTCTTGCAACAGTGGATGAGTCAAATTTGTGTCATGTGCAAAAGAGACAGAAAACATGTCAGATTGTCAAACAGAGACAAAACACAAGTAAAGATAAGGAGTTAGTCATCCTCAGGCTGTATGTCCCAGATAGAGCACACTAATGTCCTGAGTAAAAACTTCTGGTATGTTATAGGGCTTTCTGCTCACAGGTATTGTTTTTTTTCCCAGATCCTCACAGTAAGGAACCTCAGGATGACAGTATTGTCTTTAAAAGTGCGTATATGTGTGTTTTCCATGTTCTTGATATTTGGTTGATGCTACTCTCTCAACATCACAAGGGCCTGCCTCTTGTAACATCACCAGGGCCCATCTGCTTGAAATAATGATGGATCATCCCTAGGTCCCAGGTTTTGGTCCTGAAACATCAGGGTATGAGATAGTCCTTAACAAGGGGAGTTCTGTAAGTTGCACTTATAGATAATCTTTCCTCCAATTAGCTCATGGCTGTCTTTCTCTAATATACTTATCTTCTCATCTTCTCATATTACCACTTCATCACAATGAACCAGGTCAAGTGTTTGGTAGAGTAGTAGTGATTGGTTCCTATTTGTCTGTGTGATGAACACAAACATGTGGCATAGTTCTTGTTTACTTTTCCACTTCACTCATTGGCTGGGATTTCAAATTTCAAATGCCTCCATGGTCTTAGCCAAGCTCTTATCTTGACTTTTGGAGTTTTTTATATTAAGCATGTGTTTATTTTATGGAGATGAAAAAATAGAACAGGTGATAGGCTACATTTAATAATAGTATAGCAAAGAGTGGACTGAGTAATATAATCCAGTTTATCATATAGCCTGACTGTCTAGATCAGTGATTCTCAACTTGTGGTCCATGAACCACCATTTGTCCACAAGAACTAAAATAGGGTCCACGGCCTCACCATTACTACACTGTTGCAACAAGAGTGACTGGTCTTGTGAAACCCTGTTATAGTATCGAGGCAACGGGGATGTTGGGAGGGGAGAGGCTGACTACCCATGAAAGACACAACATCAAGCCTCCTGACTGCTTCTTCTCATCCTCCTCCCTTCCCTTGAGCAGAGCTGTTCCATGTGGTGGAACAGGGGCACGTTGGTGTTTTTGCTTTTAGGCCTGTTTCTGGGGTCATTTGGGGTGCTGATTCAGAAACTAGAGCTGATGTGGTCTATCCAATGCAATTTTCTGAATCAGCACTCCAAATAACCAAACCGAATCTAAAGTGGACCAAAAACTGATTCATAACACTTTTGGTACGATCATTGGAGTGGTCCCTGGTCAAAGTAATCCCTGGTCAAGTGGTCCCTGGTCAAAATTATTCTTGGTCAAAGTGTTTCCTGTCAAAGGGGTTCCTGGTCAAAAAAGGTTGGGAACCACTAGTCTAGATTTTCTCATGTGAGAATAGTGGCAGTTCTACCCATGAATTAACTGTTGTGTGAACTAGTACTTCTTTCATACAACCCGACTAACCTGAGTATTGGTGTTTTAAGATTTGGAGACATCCTGATTTTTGGTGGGATCAATACATTTTCCTCACAAACCTCCTATTTTGTGCTTCTCTTGTTTTCTATCTCCTTTTTCAAACTTGCTGCATGAAAAGAAGGTGGCTTGGAAGGAAAAGTCCTGACTAGAGACTTTTGTAAATGTTTACATTTTGGGAAACCCCAATCAATGATTAAAAGCAAAATTTCCGTTGCCTGTGTTTTGTGACTCTACTTTGTGGTGCTTCACTTGGTAATTGTGCAATTTTAGAAAACTGGCAAGACTTACACCATCTGAACTTCCCCTTTCATTTTCAATATGTTCAAAATAAAAGTTGGACATGACCCAGAAAGGCTGAACAGGCAGTTTGCAGGAGATAGTATTGCCTCAGTGCTGTGGTCTTTCTCAGCCAACTAGCCCTGCATCCTTGGGAATGTAGAGTCTTTGTTTTTCTTTCTAAAAAGGAATTGCCCGCTTCTTCACAGAGACCTGGCTTGATGAATAACAAGTCATTTTTCCCCATTATTTGTGCCTTTTGGAGTAATTTAGCTCTCACTGACACTCATTAGCAAAATATTATGAGCTGTTATATCCTTCTCTCCCAACAATATCTCAAAAGCATTGTCTCTGGGCAACCCATACAGATAGCTGTGAAGACGGAGATAGCAGAGTTGGAAGAGATCCATGGGATGTGCTTTCGATCTACTCCAAATTGTATTTTCTCATTTTATTTATAGAGCTCTAACATGTACTAAACATCTAAAGGAAATGGGTCAAACTCAACGCAGAATCCAGGCCTTTTGTTTTCTACCAGTCTACCAATTGCTTGGGAAGCCTATACTTTTGTGATTATGTTTACCAAGCTTTTTTTCTACTTATACAATGAGGCATGTGCCTGTCTTCCAGGGAAGGTGGAGAAGCAAACTGAGGGCACACATATACAGCAGAATTAATGCAGTTTGACACCACTTTAACCCCCATTTACAAAGACCTGTTCAAAGAGCCAGGTTTTTACTTTTTTCCGGAAGGTCAGGAGGGAGGCGGATGATGTAATATACCTAGGGAGGGAGTTCAATAGCTGAGGGGCCATCACTGAGTAAGCCCCATTTCCCATCCCCGCCAGACGTGCCTGTGAAGAAGGTGGGATTGAGAGCAGGGCCTCCCCAGATGATCTTACATTCCTAGATGGTTCATAGGGAGAAATATCTTTGGACAGGTAAGCTAAGCTGGGCCTGAATCGTTTAGGGCTTTATAGGCTAAAGCCAGCACTTTGAATTGTGCCTGGTAGCAAACTAGAAGCCAGTGGAGTTGGCACAACAGAGGAGTTGTGTGCTCCCTGAGAGCTGCTCCAGTTAACATCCTGGTTGCCGCCCACTGGACCATTTGAAGTTTCTGAGCAGTCTTCAAAGGCACCCCCGTAGAGCACGTTGCAGTAGTCTATATGGGATGTAACCAGAGCATGGACTACCATGGCCAAGTCAGACTTCTCAAGGTACGGGTGCAGCTGGTGCACAAGCTTTAACTGTGTGAAAGCTCCCCTGGTCACCACCAAGACCTGGTGTTCCAGGTTCAGCGATGAATCCAGGATCACTCCCAAGCTGCGACTCTGTATCTTCAGGGGGAGTGTAACCCCATCCAACACAGGCTGTAAACCTATGCCCTGTTTGGCCTTTTGGCTGACCAGGAGTACCTCTGTCTTGTCTGAATTCAATTTCAATTTATTTGCCCTCATCCAGGCCATCACAGTGGCCAAGAACCGGTTCAGGACCTGACAACCTCCTTAGTAGTAGGTGGGAAGGAGTGACAGAGTTGGACATCATCTACGTACAGGTGACACCACACCCCAAGACTCTGGATGTTCTCCCCCAGGGCCATAGGACAATGGCTGCGGGGTCGAACAGGTGTCCCCCAACAACACCTTCTGGGAATGGTCTTCTTGGATGGACTGGAGCCACTGCAGAACAGTACCTCCAAAGCCCATTTCCACAAGGTGTCCCAGCAGGATACCATAGTCAATGGTATTGAAGGCTACTGAAAGGTCCAGCAGAATCAACAGGGACACACACCCCGTCTAGCTCCCAGCGTAGATCATCCACTAAGATGATCAATGTTGTGTTGGTTCCATGTCCCGGCCTAAAGCCAGACTGTGCTGGATCCAGATAATCTGTGTTTTCAAAGAACAGCTGGAGTTGCAAGGCCACCATATGTTCAAGGACTTTGCCCAAAAAGGGGAGATTGGAAACTGGCTGATAGTTGATGAATTGAGTGGGCTTCAGTGATGGGTTTTTTTTTCCATTGGGAGGCATTAACCACCACCTTCTCCCACTCTGCTAAACCCGCTCTGGCTTCTTTTATCAAAGCTTTGAAATGTGGCCCCATACTTACTGGGGCAGGGGTGGAGGGGGACTAGGAATTAACATTATTTAACCCTAGCTATTTAATAGTTCAATCAAATTGGGTTTTCACTAACTTCTTCACAACCTTTCATCCTACTAGCAGGAATGTGATTTCACATATTGAAAATGTGACTTCTGTGCCACTCTGGAGTGCCAGCAAATGATCAGCCCAGGCACTCAGCCTCTCCACACAAAAAGGGAGAAAATCAGGAACCAGACTGATGTGTTTTCTAACCCTGTTGCTGAATCTACTGCTGTTTGTCTTTCAGCAGTGGAAAGAAGGAAGATATCTCTGAGCTCTTTAAACCTCAAGAGCTCTTTAGAATTAAATTATGATTATGTTAGGACCATTTTCCATAGCTAAATGCATGATAAATATTTTGCTTCAAAATCATCTCAAGTGCACTTACAGGTGTTTGGTACTGATTAAAATAATTTGGAGCAGCGGTATAACTACCTCAATTCATCCTTGCCTCTGAGGTGTAGTAATCCACTCTAAGTTAAAAGGAACTACAAATCACAATGTATCTCGCTTCTTCACTAGGAAATAAAGAGACCAAGAGAATGGGGGTTACCATGGTTCTAGCTTTCTCAATAGCTAGAAACATGGTATCCCAATTCTCTCAGATATTGTATCTTTCCCCTGGTATTTTTTCTTTAAGCTTGGGAGGCATTTCTCTTCCTACACACACAGAGAGAGACACAAAGTTGCAAGCTGTTCTGTACGTATGAGGAAGAAAGAAGGCTCTTCTCAGAGATAAATAACTAGTAGACAACAGGTTCCTGCCATTTTTGCGTCATATCAAATTTTAATTATGTGGTCATATTTCAGGGGAATAAATTGTGGCCCTTCACCACAAAAAAAGTTGTGTATGTTTTAAATTGTCATAGCTGCTTTGGAGAAGCCTGGTCCTTTTTCGAGGCAGAGAAAGCATCATCTTTGATGGCATGTTCTGAGGCCAGGAGAAGGTGGCAGTGCAAGTATGTAAAGGAAAAGTGGTGTACATATATCATGTGGGCTGTAATTCACCCCATAAGCTTGCCTGTTGCCCTCAGGTGCAGTGAAGGAATGCTACCAGTGCTGGAGTTGGATTAATTTGCTTTCCTATTTGGTTCCTCCATGGAACCACCACCTGTCCTTCACATTAGGCACCATTTTTCTCATACGGACCTTGCTATGCCAAAGTGTATAGGTGTGTGAACTCATCACTGCTAGATAGTGTTATCTGTATGTTAAAGAGTGACTACCAGCCGTGAATGACTTGGGTTTTGTGGTCAAACTAACATGCAGAACGCCATTGAAATCCAGAGTGAAGGTCCATTTTAAATGTCCCACAGATAACCACCTTTCTGGAAAATCTAGCAGTTACCATTTTCAAGTAAAATGAGGTGTGTCTTATCTCTCCTAACACACACATCCCTCTCTGACTCTATCACAATGCAGAATTCTAGCAGTTTGACACCACATTAACTGTCATGGCTCAATGCTATGGTATCCTGTAATTTGC